CCCAGGTAGAATAGCCTGTCGAAATAAAGGACCAGCGCATTGTCGAGGTCCTTCACATTGTTCTAGCCGAGGCCCGCCTCCAAGGCCCACTCGAGAAACGACCTCGTCTTCTTGAAGTAGTCCTTGCGGGTAGCGTCCGCCACCGAACGGCTCTCGAGGTACGTCATGTGGGACGAGTCCTGGGGGGGCTCCGATGTCTGCGATGATCGGCGGCGCCGGGTCCGCCGTGCCGCTGCAGCAGGCGTCGACGGCGATGCTAGCCCAGCCAGCCAGCGCCCCTGGGTCGCCACCAGGGTGCGCATCTAGCAAGGGGCTGAGCGGGCCGAGGGCTGGGAACCTCGGGACGGCTTGAAGAGGCTCAGCAGGTTTACCATCACGACCAGCATCGCGGTGTTCCATGGCCCCGTCCAGCTCCTGCCGCCGCTTGATATAGGACAAGCCTCGGGACGGATTGTCCGCTGGGTTCCTTTCGGACGGGACCCAGCGAACATGTATATGGAGACGGCGCCCGAGGGTCAAAGCAGCTAGCTCGCGCAGAATATCCCGAAGCTGAAAGGCCGCCTAGCGGCCCTTGCCTACCGCCAAGGCGAGTCCCACGTTGTCGACGAGGGCGAGTACGCGATGCCCAAAGGCTCGGCGATCCCGAAGAGTGCGGCGCAAGGCGTTCGAGAGAGCCAGCCCCTCAAGACGCAGGATGTTCGCTGGGCCCCGCCATGGAAAGGACTCCACGATGTGCCAAGCCTCAGCGTCCGTGAAGCTTGCCTCGACCATGTCGTGCGATTTCTTGAACTCGTCGGCCCAGCGAAGGCTGTCGGGAACGTCATCCGCGCAAGCGATCTCCGCGACGTCAGCCGCGAGCGCATGGCTCCTGGGAGCAGCGGCGCCCTGCTTGTAGCGCCACTTCTCCGCCGCGCGGCCCCGGCGCGCGACCAGCTACTGGGTCCGCTTGGCGCGCGCAAACGCCGCGGCCCCACGGCGAAGCGTCACTGGCCGTCACTGACGAAAACCACTTGGCGTCCGCGTGGGCCACGAACAACGGGGGCAGGTCCCTGGCGAGCTTGACCTCCTCGACCACCGAGTCCCAGAGCGGCGCGACCTCCCGCTCGTGCTTCTTCGCGAAGGCGTAGGCCGCGCTGAAGATGGACAAGGTAGGCCCCCGTAGCAGCATCAACCACGCGGCGTGGCCCAACACCACCCCCAAGACCCCGCCCGAACAACGCCCGCGCTTCAAAAGCTCCTCGATCGCCAGTCGAAGCCGCCACATGCGCCGCGTAGAGACCCGCGCAGCGCGGGCGCGGCCGTCGAAGGAGAGGCCAACGAAGTCGGCGTGGCCGACTGCCTCGGAGGTGTCCTCATGCACGGTGAAGCCCTGGCCCTCGAGGCTCGAAGAGACCTGCCGCCCCGCCGCTGCGACGCGCTCCTTTGGGGCGCCCTGCGCCGTGAAGGTGTCGACGTAGCCTGCCGCGCCCAGCGGGCGATCTGGCCCAAGGGGCCGCGAGGCTGCGCGGTCCTTGACCAGGGCGTCCGCGCCCAGCCCGCCACGCGCGAGGCCCTCCTCCGTGACCGACCGGCAGGGGCGCAGCGCCCAGCTCCAGCCCATCGGCAGCGCTGTCAGGATCGGCGCAAGCGAAGCCGCAGCCGCGGGTCGCACTCCGCCCACCAGCGGCCACCCAACCTGCCCAGCCCGGACGGGTGGGAGGCGAAAGCAGGACCCGAGCTCAGGAGGCACCGAGATGGCGTAGAACGCGTTCTGCACGTCGCCAACGGGGCACCGGACCACGTCGCACTCGCTGGTCTCCATCCTCGCGAAGGCCGAGGCGGACGGCAAGTGCGCGGTCGGGGGCGGCTCGAAGTCGCAGTTGGCCAGCCGCGCGGCCAAGAAAAGCCCGACGGTGGCCTCAGCCTGGGCAGGTGCCAGGCGGACCACCCCGCGCTCCGGCATCCCCTGCGCGAGATCGGCGTAGACGCGCTGGTGGCGGAAGGCGGGTTCCACGGAAGGACGACGGAGTCCGAGCTCAGAGTGAAGTGCCACCGCTGCAGCTGGAGGTCTTCGCATCTTGGCCGTCAAGTCCCTCAGCCAGGAGGAGTGCTCAGTCGAGAACGCGCAACCCAAATCGACGGGGGCGGCTCCCGCGGCTGGCCAGGACACGAGGTCCTTGCTGTAGGGCACGACGGTAGTTGAAGTCTCGCCGCACATCGCGGCGGATCAGCAGAGCTCACGAAGGCCCCCGCGGGGGTGAACGTCAGCTTGGCGGGCTCCTGCGGCAAAGCAGCTGCGCCCCAAGTGCTCGAGGCAGGACTAACCGAAGGCGGCCCAGCTGCAACGTCACCACGACCAGAGAGGGAGTTGAGAGCGTGAATGCCTTCGTTCGCCCACTCGAACGTGCGAAGACGTCGGAGAGCACGGAGTTCGACTGCCCGAGAGCGGCCACATCCGCGCTGAAGAAGTTGAAAAGTTGGAAGCGGGAACACGTCGCGCTGGCGACTCATCCCGCAGCAACCGAAAAAAAAACAAAAGCCTGCTAGCCCGGGGCCAAAGAGCGGCAGGCCGCCGAATCCGTGAGCGAGCGGCCGGAGGCTACTCGCCTTCCTTGCCGCCCTTGGCAACTTTCTTTGGACGGGCCAGCGCGCGTTCCTCTCATGCCTTCCTCCGTTCCTTGGCGATCGCGTTCTCGCGGCCGATCTGCTCGCTGATCCAGGTGCTGAGCTCCGGCGCCACCATGAGCCCACGAATGGTGGCCATGCCCGTGAAGTAGTAGTGCTCGTCTCGGTGGGCCTCGTCGCCGAGCTCGGTACCGCGCAATTGCAACTGGCGGGCCACCAGCTCCAGCGCTCCGAGATTGCTGATGTCCAGCTGATCGTAGCACAGCGCGGCCTCGAAGATCTTACTGAACTCCAGGTGCGCGGAGACCGTGACATCGTCCAGCGCGAGCCTGATGTTCGACCTCCACTGCACATGATGACCGAGAGCTCTGCCGCCATTCTTCAACATAAAGCGAGCCACCCACGCCACGGTCCGCGGCCCTGGGACGGGCCAGTCACCCCACTGAGCTGGGGCCAAGATCACAACGGCGTCCGCGAAAGACCTGTGGCGCTGGCCATTCGCGTCGTAGCGCACTGCCATCGTGCGGCAATCCGAGGCGTGGAAGCCATCGCCAGCAGCTGGTCCAGTAAGGCCACCTCCTCCATCGCCATCCGCGAGAGCTGCAGCAAGCCCAGCATGCCCGCCGCCTGCCGCCGCGGGCCCACCCGCTGCCGCCGCTCCTCCACTAGCCGCCGCGGCCGCCGCCGGGACGCCCGCGGCCGCCAAGGCAGCGCCCGCCACAGCGCCGCCGGCTCCTGCGGCTGCCGCGCCTGCAGGCACCACAGCCCCGGCGCCTCCTTCTCCAGCCAGCGCGACGCCGCCTCCTCCCGCAGCCGCTCCGCCGCCGTTGGGGAGAGCCGGCAGGCCGCCCCCGGGCCCCCCCGCCGCGCCAAGGCCTCCTCCGCCGCCGACGCCGTCAGGGGGCGCGGGACCTCCAACGGCAACGCCGCCAGCAGCTCCAAGCTGCGCGTCGTGGGCCACGATGAGGCGGTCGGCCTCCGCCGTGAAGCTGAAGAACTCGTGGACCGAGAGCGGCGGCTGAAAAACATAGATCGCCTGACCCATGGCTGCGGCGGGGGTAGCTCCTCCAGGCCCACAGAGATGCCAAGCAGCGATGTCCGCGTTGTCCGCGGTGACGTGCTCAACGAAGAGATCGTGGTCGGGCGAGACCACCGCCGCGTGCAAGGGCTGCACAGCGCTAGCCCACACCACCACACGGCGATGGAGCAAAACAGGCCCAGGGACCGCATACGCCACCAGCACCTCATCGCCGATGTTCATCCGGCGTCAACACTCGTCCACGCCCTCGGGGTACTCGACGGTCCGACGTATCCTCCAGCGACAGCGGCGGCCCGCGATCGTTGGGTAGCCCCCGCAGCGAGCTCCAGAAGCCGCGAGCGAGGCGGCGCGCCAGGCCGCAAGCCGCGGCCACGCAATGGGTGATCATCTCCCACAAGAATAACGCGAGCAGCCCGAAGCCCAGCTCGCTGCCCCACGACCAGCCCAGGCTCCGGCTCGGGGCAGGCCGGGCAAGGGTCGGGGCAGGCGTGCCAGGCGGGCTGGGCCAGCGCTGGCGAGCACTGGGCGATCGCCGCGCAGAGGCCCTCGACCTGCGCGACGGGCGGCGGCGAGGCCTCTGGGCAGCCCCGCGCTGGCGGCGCGGGAGCGGGCGCCGGCCGCGGAGCTTCCAGAGCGGCCGGCGCAGCCGGCGGCAGGCGAGCGCCTCCCCACAGGCGCCCAAGCCAGGCAGCGCAGGCGTGGAACGCGACCAGCGTCACGCCGTGGGCCACCGGGCGCATGCACGCGCCACGCGCGTGGGCCTCCTGAGGCCCCCGTGGAAAAGGCTTGAGCCGTGGCGGTTGCAGACCGCACGGCCCTCCATCGCTCTACGATTACTGTTCGAGAACCTCCCATCTTCATCATCATCCTCATCCTCATCAGCATCAGCATCAGCATCAGCATCAGCATCATCATCATCATCATCATCATCATCATCATCAGTAACATCATCATCAACATCATCATCAACATCATCATCATCATCATCATCATCATCATCATCATCATCATCATCATCATCATCATTATCATCATCATCCACCTCCTCCTCCTCCTCCCCTCCTCCTCCTCTTCCTTCTCCTCCTCCTCCTCCTTCTACGTACGGCTCCTCAACCTCCTCCTCCTCCTCCTCCTACCTTCCTGCCTCCCTCCTTCCCCCCTCGTCCTGCGGGCCAGTGGGGAGGGGGGCGTTCGCGCGTGGGGCATGGGCAAAACCCCTAGGGGAATTGATTTTGGCCGTGCCCGCGCGCCCAGATGCCGGATGCTGGCGCCTGCGCGCGCTCAGCACTCCCCTCTACAGATGGCCGGTGAGAGGGTTGGAGGCGGGGGGGGAGAAGGGAAGAGAGCGGTAGAGCTCCTCGGCCTCGAAGGCCCAGGTGTCTCCCTCCACTGGAGGGAGCTGCAGGAAGTCGCCGCACATCACCACCTGGCCGCTCAGAAGAGGAGGGAGGGCGAGGAAAATTGGAAAGATGTGAAACGTTTGATCTCTCTTGGGCTCCTGGGAAGCTCTGGATGCGGACACAAGGACGCCTCTGGGGACATCAAGAAAGAGGATGTCTGAACCTCCAACGCCCAAAACAACATCAAAAAAACAATCTGTCCAAATTTCGAGCCTCTGGCCGCCAATTCTGGGACCCGGGATTGCAAAAACCATCTAGAACGAACAAACACGGTGCCAAGGAAGAAATCGAGAACTCCGAGGGATCGCGGTTTACGGCAGCTTGCCTCGGAAGCATCCCTCGACAAAGGGTCTCGCCGCCCCCGCACCCCCCAGACATCCCGCGCGCCCTGGAAAGGCCGGAGGGGCTTCCTCCCTGTGGGCACGGAGGACAAGGAAAACGTGGGGGAAAGGGGTGGAAGGACAAGGAAGAGAAGAAATATGTAGGAAAAAATAGCAAAAAGAAGATCAGGGCAAATCGAGGATGCGCAGACGATGCTGTAATAACCCTCGCTACTTCCTACAAGCACTGTTTTCCACTGCAGGAACTGCCCCCGTGAACGTCGAGCGGCCCGTGGGTTTTCCATTCCCATTCAGGCAACGTCCCCATTGTTTACCCTGTATTCCTCCAACCTTCAGGTCGGAGGTGAGGGGGTGAGATCGAAATGTAACGGAGAGCCCCCCTACCGGGAAATCGGTTTCGGTTTCGTGTTCGTGCGTGCCGTGCGTGCGGGCGAAGCGAACCTGCGTGGGCGGGCGAGAAGTGTCCCGCCTCTGGCTGAGGCGCGGCCGGACCAAATATTTCCTGTCCGGGGCCCGGTGGCGCGCGGTGTCCCGACGGTGTCCCGCCGGTGTCCCGTCGGTGTCCCGATGATGATGATGAGGACGATGATGATAATGACGATGATGATGATGATGATGATGATGATGATAATGATGATGATGATGGCGATGGCCATGGTGGTGATGATGATGGTGTCCCAATGATGATGCTAATGATGATGATGATGATGATGTTGACGATGATGATGTTGCTGATGATGTTTGTGTCCCGAGGATGATGATAGTGATGATCCTGGAGATGTGGATGATGATGAGATGATGAGATGCTGATGATGGTGATGATGAGTATAATGTGAATGGTGATGCCCTGATGATGCTGATGATGATGAGGTTGATGATGATGTTGATGATGATGGTGATGTTGGTGTCCCGACGATGATGATGTTGATGATGAGAGAGATGACGATGATGGTGCCCCGATGATGAAGGTGATGATGTAAATGATGAGGATGATGATGAGGTGATGATGATTTTGATGCTGGTGGCCTGACGACAATGATGCTGATGCTGATTCGGATGATGGTGTCCAATGATGATGATTGTGATGCTGATGATGATGGTGACGGTGCTGATGGTGTCCCGATGATGATTATGTTGATGATGATGATGTTGATGATGATGGTGTCCCGATGATGGTGTTGATGATGTTGCTCGTGATGGTGATGTGATGATGATGCTGGTGGTGTTCCGATGATGATGATGGTGTCCCGATGATGGTGATGCTGATGATGATGGTGACGATGATGGCGTCCCCGACATGAGGATTATTTTGTGATGATGATGGTGATGGTGGTGATGATGATGGTGTCCCGTTGATGATGATGATGATGATGTTGATGATGCTGATGTTACTGATGATGACGATGGTGGTGTCCCGATGATAATGGGGCTGATGATCCTGATGATGTTGATGCTGATGAGTTAATGAGATGATGCTGAAAAATGATGATGGTGGTGCCCCGATGATGACGAGGTTGATGATAATGCGGTGGATGATGATGATGATGATGATGATGGTGATGGTGATGATGGTGGCCCGGTGATGTTGATGATGTTGATGATGATGGCGGTGAGGGGTGAGGGTGTCCCGGTGATGATGATGATGGTGCTGATGAAGATGATTCTGAAGTGATGATGATGATGATGATGTCAATGGTGGTGGCCCGATGAGGATGCTGACGTTTATGTTGATTATGATGATGGTGCCCCGATGATGATGATGGTGATGGTGATGATGGTGACGATGATGATGGCGTCCCGATGATGGTGATGCTGATGATGACGATGATGTTGCTGATGGGGATGATGGGGTCCAGATGATGATGATGGTGATGATATTGTTCATGATGATGATGAGGTGATGGTGGTGATGATGGTGTCCCGATGATGATGGTGATGGTGTTCCGATGATGATGATGTTGGTGATGATGATGGTGACGATGATGGTGCCCTGATGATGATCATGATGATCATGGTCATGATATTGATGATGATGGTGATGAAGTGATGATGGTGATAGTGTCCCAATGATGTTGATAACGATGTTGATGACGATGATATTGATGATGATGATGACGTTGACTGTCAGATCGATGGTGATATCGAAAGTGAGAATGAATGTGAGATATATTGTGAGATCGATAGTGAGATCGATTGAATGAAATGGCTCGAGTGAAATCGATGGTGAGATCGATCGAGTGAGATCGATTGAACGAGACCGATAATGATATCGATAGAGAGATCGATAGCGAGACCGATCGAGTGAGACGTTGGTTCCCCCCCCCGAACCTCCTTATCACCCGAAGGGTGGTCGTACATGTATGGGGAGAGGTATGCTAATCAAACTAAAGGGGGTGACAAGCAAAAACCTTGTGTTGAAAAAGAACCGTCTCTGTGAGTGAATTGCTCCACGCTTTCTCACTTCGGTGAAATGGATGACTTTTCGAGCTGTATCCCCATCTTGAACAGGAGCAGTCCTGGAAGCGTGTACTGTAGAAACTCACCATAAGAAACCTTCCACAAGAAACCCAACCGTGGAACCCCAGGACGTCCATTGATTGTTGGTGTGGGGGCGTCTCGCTTTCCATCGCAAAACCATCACAACCCAAGAAACCCAGGGCACCCCTGAGGCGAGCAAAATATTTCTTGGCCTGGATTCCCCATGTAACATTTGGAAACGTTTGAAATGAATGCGCACGGTTTTCACGGGAACGCCACCTTTCGACAACGACCCGCTATCCACCCGTACACTTCTACAGTTCTGTCTGGCGAATGCGCGCAACAATGAACCGAAACCCACATGATGAATACAAGTCGTGTTGCATCCTGTAAGACGCTGTGGGAAAGTTCAAATACGAATGTGCGCGGTCAGACCAGAACCACATGTTGAAGACGGCCCGCCCTCCATCATTGTACTTGTTGGAAGTTCTTCAAATTAATGCGCGTGGACCTCAAGCGGAACCCACATTGTCAAAACGGCCAACTCTCCACTCGTGTAACTGGTGGGATTGTCCGACCTCGCCCTACCGACGTGTCTGGTGGTGCGAAACGAAGGCGCGTTGAGAAACTAAGAAGGACGGCGGAGAGATGGGGAAAGTTGGGGGTGAGAGAAGGACGCGCCCGCGCGATCGGAAAACTGGTTCGGGTGAGCTGGCCCGAAGGCGCGTCGAAACGCATCACAAGTGACGCCTGGGGGGGGAGGAGGAACAAAAACCAGGATGGGACCTGCAGTCCGCCGAACGGCCGGGAGTCGTCGCGTAGCCTGCTCAGGTCCTTGGAGGCCTTGTCGAACAGGTCGCCTGGTATCATGCTCACCTGTGGGATCCCAAGACGCCGCGCAGCACGGTGGCTTGAACAGCCCAAGCTGTTATCTCTGCCCTCCCTCTTCCTCCTCCTCCTCCTCCTCCTCCTCCTCCCCCTCCACATCGTTCCTACTCCTTCCTTCGTCCTCCTCCATCCTGCTCTCCCACTGTCCCCCCACTACGTAATCCGAAGCCCCGACGAACATTGTTATCTAACATGTGTGTGTGTCCACATGAGCTAGGCGTGCCGCGGCCAATAATCCCCTGTTGGAAGCTTCCAAGCCTCCACGAATCTGCGGGCGACATGCCCCTGACGAAGAACTCGAAAGGGTCGCGTTGGCGCCGTCTCTACGCGTCCCCACGTCGCCCCGTAAGGTCTGAAGCTGACGCGTCGCCACCCCGCCGCGCCCCCTGGCAAGCAGACGGGGACGAGAGACGACCGAGCAGACGACGGGGGCGGGCGAGAGGAGCGAGGGAGGCCACGGAACCGGGAGAAACAGAATATCGCAAGGAAAGGGGGGCGAAGGACGCAGGACGGGGATGGGGGGGCAGGCGTGCAGCGCAGAGGGCAGAGAGGGGAGCGCCGCGAAACAAGGTCTTCAAAACAACTGGGGGAAGAAAAGGGGGGGAAGGCGAAGAAGCGTGCGGGCGGCCGCGGGGGAAGCCGATCGGGGCCTCTTCCAAGGGCGCGGGGGACCGGCCGCGCCCGCGGTCTGGGCGGCGACCCCGCGCTGCACAGCCGCGGTAAGGCTCTGGCGCAAGTCGGGGAGCGCCTGCTCGCGCCAGGCGCCTGCGGGCGCCGCCGCTTGGGCCCAGCGGCGGAGCTCCGAACCCCAGCGCCCGCCTGTCCCAAGCGCAGAAACCAGCAGACAGCCTCCCAGGCAGCGTTGGCGTTTTCTTCGCCGCCGATCGGCGGCCGCCTGGCCGTCGGGCCGAAACCTGGCCGCTGCTCAGCCCGGATCGGGCGTGGTGACTTCGAACACGATTACGTCGGTGGCGATGGGGGCCGGAGTTGACGGGGTCGCGCGGCAACACCAAGCCAAAAACTGTCCTCTCCATGGTGCCGTCTGCGCGCAGTTGGTCCCGTCCGGGCCCGCCTGTTCAGTCACTGCCCCCTCCTCGGTCCACTTCCGTCTGCGCCGCGCTGCCAGCGCATCGGGGCATCTATTGCTCCTGCGAATGAAGCCCGAGGCTGTTGTCGCAGCAGCAGGCGTGGCTCCCGTTGCGCGGGCGCACCACCGATGCGCACAAATGGTCCGCCCGGAAGGAGCGCCCGGGCTCTAACACGGTCTGGGGTTCGGCCGCGCGCGGAGCAGAGGGGCGAGGGCGGGGGCGCGCCCGGAGTTTTGCCGCAGGCGCGCGGCGGCGGCTCTGATGAAAGCCGCCGCTCCACCGACTGCGCTCTTCGCATTATGACATGCACTATGCGGCGCGCCAATAACATGGCAAGATACAAAAAGAGAGAGAAAGAGAGAGAGAGAGAGTGAGTGAGAGAGATAGAGAAAAAGAGAGAGAGAGAGAGAGAGCCGAAACAATGTGAAACGGAGCAAGAGGGCAAATACAAGCCGCATTGAGTGCGTCCTCGGTTCCTGCAGGCAGAGATGAAAGATGAGCCCGGAGCTGTCTAGCAATAGCGACGCACCCAACTACGTGAAGCAACTTATCACTATGAGGAAGATGACCGAAAGGGCCAACACTAGTAGGCCCTCGGGACCAACTGGTGGCGCACCACGAGTAGCCAGCGGCCCCCAGGCAGGAGAAGGCGAGAAAGGGGGGCAGAGAGGGCTGCGCGCAACAAAACCATTAACACCCGATCTACATCAACTCTGCACGTTTGGTGACGGACATGATTCGGCCTAGCATGCAGGGGGCTATGGGGGGGGGCATTCCAACGGCCCAGGAGTGCAAGCTCAGCTTTGCGTTGATACCGTGTTTCGCCAAACGTGGGCGCCCGCGAAATCTGGTTCATATAGGCATCGTTATGCCGCAATGAAATACTAATACCAGGCTGCCGCCAGGGATCCCAAGCATGGGCCATCGACCATCGTCGATTCAGGCGCGGGTCGACCGGCGCCCCGCGGCATGGCGAAAGGCTTGAGACATCGCCGCCGCGCGAAACATATCTGCGCGAGCGCCTGCCCCCTACTCGCGAGCCCCAATCTCGTCGCCCAGGGCGTCGAAATTTAGGATCAGGTCGGAGGGCATGGCATTCCGAGGGCCGCTGTCGAGAATCTGCAAGGACTTACCTTCCATGGCTACGGCGAAAAACGAAGGGAAGTATAATTGGGAAACGCGGGAGAGAACAGAGACGGCATCCGTCTTTCGAGGGATTTGGTGGCTGGCGCGATCGAGCTCTCGGTCGATCAGCGAGGGCCAGCGATGGCGCCAATATGCCTGGCGGCGCGTTTGAAAACAAGCTCGCACTGCTGGATCCCGTACTCTCGAAGACGTTCATGGAATGCATATTGGGTGGATCAGGGGCACGACGGTTTTGGCTGAGTTCATTTGGGGCCCTCTAGCGCGCGCAGCTAGCTCCCAGGCGGGAAGCGCCATAACTGAAGCGGTAAAGATGTCGGATCTGGCCAAGCCCGCCTCGTCAGCGAATGCGCCCAGGGTGCCTAACTGCGGCGGCAAAAGATAACGGATACCTCAGGAACGGGTCCAATGCCAGACAGAAGAACGATCCTGAGAGGGGGCGCCCCTGCTCGACACCTCTGAGAGCCTAAAAACTGGCGGCCCTACGGCCACAGAAATTGATGCCCACCCAAATGCGACTGCAAAGCTTGCGGACGGCCTCGACGATGAACAACGGGACGCCCATGGCTCCATAGACCAACCAGATCACGCCGTGGAGGAGGCCGGGGAAAGCGGCGCGCGCGTCGAAAAAAGGCGGGGCCAGTGAATAAGAGCCCCGTTTGACATTACCACTGGAGTGCCCAAGACCCAAGAGCGAGGAGACTGTCGTTCATATTTTGGTTTTCCACAAGGCACGTTGTTCGGCAATGGCGGTTTCGCAACGCAGATCCGAAAAGGAGTGGTTCAGGGTCCTGGAAATCAGCTTGCTGTCGCTGTTTGAGAGAGCAGTGGGACGCGTGACCTCGGGCTTCCCATGGGCGCCGTGGGTCTCATTATCGGGCTCGACCCCCTTGGCCCGGAAGATGGCTCGGCAAAAGTTGCACTCGCTAGCGAGACTGCCGCGTCGCAGCAAGGGCAGGTGCAAGGCGCGCAGCAGCCTGAGACCGACATGTCCAGATTTGGTCCATCCAAAATGAAGAATGCCGTCGGGGCCCACATCAGAATCGCGAACCTTGGAGGCTCGCTCGCCAAACTCCCTCTCGCAGATTTCCCGGGACATGTGACCGGGACCTGGATCAACGCGCGGCCAATCCTGATCGCGCGCCTCTGGAGGGCCTTCTTCCAAGCTGTGAACCTGCCCCCCGATGTTCAGCCATTCCATCAGCGACGCGATTCGGACCCGAAATGCGCCCCGCAGCGGGGTCGGTGACCCCCGCGAGCGGCATGCGTCAGTTGGAGTCCGGCCAATCTGAGAGGCATTCGTTCTGGCGCTGCTTGGAAGAAGACTCATTGTCAGGGCGCGCGCGCGGGTCAGCGCCGACCTCGGAAATCAGGCTCTGGACGTCGTCGGAAGAAAGCCGGCCGGGCCATCTGAAAAATCCACCCGCGTCTGTCCAGCGCAGATCGCCCTGGCCGACGAAGCGAGCCAGGCGCGGGCGCGCCGAGAGCGCGCTGGACGCGAAAGGGGGGCCCGCGCTGCATTGCTCGGCGCGCTGCGCGAGTCAGCGACGGCTTTTCGGACAGGGGCTCGGCCTCGCGAAGCTTCAGGTCGGCTCCGACGATCGCGACAGCAGCGCGGATCACGTCTATAAATTCGAGCACCACCAGCGCTGGATCAGAAGAGAGGGAAGCAACCATGCCACGAACGTGTTCAATCTCCCTTGGAGGCGATGAATGCCTGCGCGCCCACGAAGCATTCCCAGGAGGTCCCGACGCCGAAAAAGGAGAGAGCGCAAGACACACAGGAACGCGATCACATGGCCAGTCAAGATCGCATGCAGCCGCGAGTGCAAGAGAGAACGCCTGCAGGTCTATCAGGACCGCACTAGAAATGGTTGTGAAAATCCTGTCAAACAGTGCGATGGATATAACAGAGCGCTCATTGTCGATGATATGAACGCGTCGGTGCGCGCATGCTGTTTGCGCGCCCTCAGTATGCCCGGGAAAGAGGCGACCGAAGAGTTTGACGAGCCCATGTGTATGAAACGTAGTTTCGCCTCCCACATGCGCGCGCCATTCCCCGAGAGGACAGAAATTGAAGACGCCGACCAGAAGCGACGCGGCCGCCGTCGGCGCGAGGGGGCGGGGCTCGATGAGGCGCGCAGTGCGGCGGCGAGCAAGCGCGGGCAGACAGGGGCCAACATGGACATTAAGGATCTGCACAGCCCCACGCTGGCCCCGCAGCAGTAGCTCTCGAACTCGCCCCACGCGGAGCACGCGATGCTGAATATCGCCAAAAAGGCAAAAGCAAAGCGATGGCTGCGAAGCAGAACGCCCCCACCTGGAACACCGAAAGAAACGGACGCGCCGTGGGCGCGCAGACTCTTGACTTCTCTCTTGAGAAACTGGGGGCCCTCAAGGGGCCCGTGAGTTTCCCGAAGAGCAATGACAGCGTGCATTAGGATCAACTTCCGAAGTGTCGGCGCCGCGCTGACAGCCGGCTGGGTCGGCGGCAACGCGGGCCGAAAGAGAGTCTGCGCATTCCACGCGACGCTAGAGAAATACTCGGAAAAGATGAGAAGCAGGCCAGGGAATGAACTGGCACCAGTGGGCGAGGGCGGACGAGACGACCCAGCGGGCGAGGTAGAAGAAGATAATGAGCTCTCGCCGTCGGAACTGCAGTCGATGATCGCTCCAATCTCATGTCTGCGCTGCTTCTGGCGGCGCGGGGGGGGGGGGGGGGGCATCAGCGTTGCAGCTTGGACTCGGTTCGATCGA